GTGGGTTCTGGGCCTTCCTGGTTAGCAAGACATTTATCCCATTTCTGCTGTGTCCCAGGTACTAAGGGCTTCGCTTCTTCATCCCAGCCCCTACCCCCTTGCCCATTTCATTTGCTCAGTCCTCAGGCCTTGGCTTTAATGTCATTTTCTCTGGGAACCCTTCCCTGATCACCCAGCCCCTCAGCCGGATCAGGTTACTATCTTTACTCAGAGCTCCTTGTGCGTCTTCATTGCAGTCATCAAAATTATAATTAATTGTATTACTATTGATTCATTGTTTTCTTTGCTAGCTATCCGTGAGAGGAAGGGGCCTTGTCTATCTTACTGCTGGTCGCATTTAGTGTCAGGCACATAGGTGCTCACTAAATATTTGTTGCATGAATGGACACATGGGTGGATCTCGCACTTAATACAGAAGTATGGCCTCGTGGTATAGATTTTACAATAGGTAGCCTACAGGTGTCAGTTGAAACATTTAGAAGATAAACCATTTACAAAGATCAGACATGAAGTCTTTTAAAATATGATGACGATGCCTTTCATTAAACCTGTATAACAAATGCATTATATTTTGAATGTCTGTGATTTACTTAGATAGTAACATTTTGATCAATCCGTATAAAAAATAATTTTAAAGTAGTATGGTTATAATCTTAGTATAAGAAGCAAGATAATTTCTACTTAGAACAAACAAGTGCACCACAGAAGTGATAACCTCTTACTCTCATTGTTATCTCTGTTTTGCTTAAACACCCTTCCAACTTCAGTTGGTGCCAAGTCTGATCATATGAGGTCAGGTAGAAGGGTGTATCACCTTTACCATAATCACTAATTCATTAAAGGTTAACAGTGAAAATGTTAACAGCGTATTTGTTTACATGGTGAGACAGTGGAAGATTTTATTTATGTATTTTCGTTCCTCTGTACTTTAAAAAAATTTTTTAGATTCCTTTCATAAAGACAAAAAAGAGGACCAGCAAAGGGTTTCTGGAGGAGAGGAGTACATTGACCTTATATTCTATAGCTTTAAATACATGTAGTACTAAACAAAGATCTTTTTTCCTCTTCTAGGGAATTCTGCTGGTGTATGACATCACAAACGAAAAGTCCTTTGACAATATTAAAAACTGGATCAGAAACATTGAAGAGGTGCGTATGGAAGGAGAATGGACGCTAGAGGAGGGCCCTGCTGGGTGATGGCGAAGGGCTCCTCCTGTCTCCCCAGCGCGCAGCAGAGCTGCCGGGAAGCAGGGCAGCGCTGGCCCTCGCTCTGCGCGGCG